TCTTCATCTTCTCCTTCTAGTTATGTAGTCTATTAGATTCCTATATCGGCCATGTATATAGTCGCTTCTTGGGTTGCTTGAACAATGTGTTTATGACTAACAAATTGCTGACTTCAGAACATCCAATGAGTCACTCTCCTGCTTCATTTCTTGATGTTTGGTCAAATTCTCCTACAATCTTTGTTTCTATTCTGTTTCCTACTTTTGCATTCCATCTGCTTGTGATTATCAACATGTCCTGTTTGATGTATGATCACTTTTCTCTTGGTCGCTGACATAGAATATTTCTGTTTCTTCTTCTTCTGTCTCTGTAGTTGGAACATAAACTTTATGGTTATATTGATGGGTTTTCCCTGAGGTCTTCCTATGTATTATATCCTTTGACAGCATTTGCTACATGTCCCTTCACTATAAAGGTTACCCCATTTCTTCTTAGATTTTCATTTCCAGAGTAAAACACTGTGTAATTATCTTACTCAAAATGTCCCATTCATGTCCACTTTAGCTCCCTTACTCCAAGCATTTTAATGTTCGTATATTCTATATCTTGTTGTACTATATCTAGCTTTCCTGATTCATGTTTCTCACATTCCATGTTCCTATAATATGTGTTGTGAAGCTTTGAACTTTGCTTTAGCCTCTGAGCACATTGATAGTTGAATGTCACTTTGGCTAGAATCCAGTTGTGTCATTAGCTGCAGCACTAGTCATAGTTGTCCTCTGGATTCTTCAGTGCCTCACTGAGTGCCATCTAACCTAGGAGTCTTCTAGCTCTATCTCCTGTATCATTTTAGATTGTCTTATCATAGGTGTTTTTGTGCTAAAAAATCTTCAAAAGTACTGTGCCTCCCCCTGTGCAGTAGTAACATGCTTTACCTATGGTGCTACTGCCATTGTGTCTGTCCAGTAGCTGTTTGGCACATTTTGTCTGGATCCTCAGGAAAATCCTGCCTGACATGGGAGACCCTACCAACAGCACTGCTACTATCAACAAAGGCTTGTACAGAACAGCCAAAAGGGTCCACATACCGGCCACCCCAACTCTGCCCTGATTCCACCCTGATGCCATTGTCACAATACCCATTCAGACAGATAGTGGGTGGCATCAGGGTGCTCCCTTGGCACAGCGTTCACACACACTGTACCAAAGAAGCACCAAAATGCCACCTCCAATGTGGCAAGGGTGGCTTCTTGCCACTCTAAAAAGAAATGACATTTGCCAGCTCTTTTTAGAATGGCAAACCACCGGATCAGGGCTGTGGCATGTGTTTGCTGTGGCCCCAATTTGACAAGGAAAGGGATGGTGGGACACTGCCCCTTAGGGGCCATCTGTTGAGCCCTATAGTTTCTTGCCACAAAGGAGCATGCAATCCCACCACATGGAAAGGTAGTGCCATTACTGGGATATGGGAGAGTATGGACCTTCAAATAACCTTGACTTGAGCTGTACCATAACTGTGAAGTGTAGATACAGTCTAATTCTCAGTCTTACATATTTTAGAGGGCATGTGTGTATGTAAAACACAGAATTAGAGACCTAATAAAGCCAATATGGTTTCCTTGGAGGAAAAGTGGGATATAATTGTAGCAAATAAAAAAGGTGAGGCTAAATACCAGTAATATTAACTTTCCATATTGTCCATGAAGTGGTATATTCCAGCATTCTGGAACATCACAAATGTGAATCCAACATTCAATCTTTCCAATGTTAAAAATGTAAAGGTAAAGGTAGTCCCTTGACATGACTGTCTAGTTGTAACCAACTGTTTAAATATTTGAAGGGATGTCATATTGAGGCTAGCTTGTTTCCTGCTGCTCCAGAGAATAGGACCTGGAGCAATGGATGGAAGCCACAGGAAAAGAGATTCCACCTCAACATTAGAAAGAATTTCCTGATAGTGAGAGCTGTTCGACAATGAAACACACTCCCTCCAAATGTGGTGACGTCTCCTTCTTTGGAGGTTTGCAAACAGAGGTTCGATGGCCATCTGTCGGGGATGCTTTGATTTTGAGTTCCTACTTGGCAGGGGGTTGGACTGGATGGCCTTTGTGGTCTCTTCCAACTCTATGATTCTATGTAGGGTGTGGATCTCCATTACTAAGCCAAAGAGCCAGCCTTGTTTGAAGATGACTCTGGTGGTCATGTGGTCAGCATGACTGCACCAAACGCTGTTACCTTCTCACTGAAGTGGTACATATTTATCTTGCATTTGTGTGCTTTCAAACTGCTAGGTTGGCAGAAGCTGGGACTAGTGACAGGAGCTCACCCATCATGAAGCACTTGGGCCTTGAACTGCCAATCTTCCAATCTTACAGTCATCAGAATTGGCATCTTCACCATTAAGCCACCACATCCCCAATGTTAAAAGAAGTGTTTAAAAACTGCAGAAAAAGGAGGAAGAGGAGGAGGAGATCCCACATGACAAATTATTTATGATACACAGTTTTCAAGCAGGAGGACAGAATGCACTATTTTCTGCAGTTTCAAAAAAAAATCATCACAAAAAAGCTTATCTCTAAAAGCTTATATAATATCCTCTTAAAATGTTAATGTTTCCATTTTGAGCTGTATGAATAAACCTCTACGATATGGATGCAACTAGTGCTAATGAGCAGGAGTGCAGGTTTGGAAAATAAAAATAACAACAATAAAAAAAACTTGCTTTAAATTATACCAAAAAAAAGACATTTGGACTAGCGAGATGTAAACCATTATTTTAAAATGGATGTATTAATGTGCTGTGAACAAAGGGCTCTTAGCTGGAGAGTGCCAAAATGACTTTTTATTCCCATTTTTTTTCCAGAGGGATAATAAAGAAGAGCTTTGGTGGACCCTTCAATGGGGAGAACATCGGATGAGAAATTCAAGAGTCTTTTCTTCCAGCTTACCATCTATCCGATTTCTGCATTTTTGTTTTTTTAAGCTGGCTGTGTGTATGTTTGTACAATAATGCAATCAGCTCCCTGTATCATTTCAGTGTTTATTTTTCCCCCACAGAGAGCACACCGGATTTTTACATATCATAAAATGATTGGGGAAGATTGGGTTTTTCAGACATTAACCCTGGCACCCTGCATAAGTTGTGCTATGCACATGGAGCAAATTATACATCATAGTGCAACAAATGTATTCTGCTGAGAAAAGTGGAAGCAGAGTTGCATGCACAGTAATGCTGTGTTTTAGTTGCAGACTGCAGACTGTAGTTCCACTTTGTGATTTCACACTGCACATTGTGGTTGGCATGTGTTGTGCAATGTTGCTATTCTGCATGATGCTGGTATAGCATATCTCTGCAAGTGGGCAGGAATACTGTACTGAGGGGATGTTAGATTACTGCCCATATCGTAGTATATGCAGAAGTGATACCAGTGTGGTATAGTGGTTTGAGCATTGGACTGTGACTCTGGACATCAGTGTTCAGTTCCCCACTCAGCCATGGAAACCTGATGAGTAACCTTGGGTGAGTCACACACTCTCAGCCTCAAAAAACTCAGTGATAAGGTCATCATAAGTCAGGAATGACTTGAAGGCACACAAAACCAACACCAACCAAAGAAGGTATGATAGATGATGCTTCACGTGTTCTTCACATCAATCACAATCTGGAGGGTTTCAAAATGTTCTTTGGAGAAGTTGAGAGAGATTTGATACAAGGTATGGTTAGTGGTTTGAGTGTTGGACTACAGCTCTAGAGACCAGGGTTTGATTCCTTGCTCAGACATGAAACCCACTGGGTGACCTTGAGCAAGTCACACTCTCTCAGCCTCGGGGAAGACAACTCCAAACACCCTGTGATAGGGTTGCCAAAAGCCAGAAATGACTTGAAGGCACACAATAGCAAACAATCAATGGAATTTCTCAGGTGACTCTTCTCTATTTTTACGTGAAACACGGAAAACAAATGCTGAACCATGTGAAAATGTACCTTTCATTATGAGGGTTTTTTTTTTTTTTTTTGCACAGAATGAGTGATTGAGAATAGTTTTTTGCTCAACTTGCCAACCATGGAGAGATACGAAAACTGAGTGCTCTTATATTAATGACTGCATTATAAAAGTATGGGGTCAGGTTAGCCAGGATCCTGTTGTAAAACACACTTTCTGGCTGGTAGCACAAGGCTGGTTCATGCAGCCATGGAAGTGATGCTAGGCATACTGACTAACCATTGCGATTCTTTGAAGGTGCTGAAACAACCAGGTTCCCTGCAACAAGTCTCAGAGTCTCTATTATGGTTTTTTTATGTCATTATGTTCCTAAGTGGTGTCTTCAAATGTTATATCCACGGAGGAAGGATGAGAGGCAGCATATCTCTCTGCCAAGCAAAGCCTCCTCATGCATGAAATTCATTGCCTTCCCCTTTAAGGAGTTTACTGCCTCAGTGACCTTTATGTTCAACCCCCCCCCAAAAAAAAAGTGGGGGAAGGGGAAAAAGAGCTTTTTAAGCACCTACACAGCTCACTAAGTGGTTTCTTATTTGACTGGCATTATTGAATCAGCTTCTGCGTTGGCAGACTCTATTATGACACTGGGAATTAGACTGAAATTCTCTTTCTGTAGTAGTGGAAGTTGTTGTTATTGTTATTGTTATTAAATGAATCTAGCTGCCTTTAACCCAGACAAACAGTCTGCTTGTTTTGTAATACATGAGAATGTCAGATTCATCTCTGGCAAATATGGTCTGTAGTGAGCCCATACAGGACTCTGAATTGTTTAGTACAGTAAACAGGTCTGACTCAGATTTAATGGAAATTGACTGCTTTTACCTCTGTTGGTCAAACTTAGATGTTGACATATAGACCGGATGCATGCTTGGCTTCCCTCAGAGCAACTATTCAAACTGACTAAAGACTAGTTTGTTGTTGTTGTGTCCTTTTAAGTAGTTTCCAGCCTATGGTGCCTATCATGGGGTTTTCTTGAAAAGTTTCTTCAAAGGGAGTTTGCTGTTGCCATCCTCTGAGATGAGACTGTAACTTGCCCAAGGCCATCCAGTGGGTTTACATGGCCAACAGGGATTCAAACCTTGGTCTTCTAGGTCTTAGTCCAACATTCAAACCATTACACCATGTTGGCCTCATGGATGAAAGAGATAAGTAACAGGAGTTGAAAGAACTATGAAATGTGGTGCTGGAGAAGAGTACTCAGAATATCATAAATAGCCAAAAAGCCAAACAAATGAGTCCTTCAACAGATCAAGCCTGAACTCCACCTGGAAGCTAAGATGATTAAAGGTGCTGTGAGCCTTGGCAACCCTAAAGTGAACCTAGAATTTTCTCTGCAAGATTTGTTTAGAGGGGGTTTGCCACTGAGGCTGAGAGAGTCCAGTGGGTTTCTATGGCCAAGCAGGGATCTTGAACCCTGGTCTTCCAGAATCCTAGTCCAACACTCAAACCACTACACCGTACTGGGTCTCATAGGCTTATACCTCTTCCTGGGGTTTATATTGGTTCTGCCTGTGCTTTAAGGCTTTTGCTCAATTCAATAGAGTCCCTCAAAATCAGGATGCTCACCAACAGTTGACTTCATCTGTGACTTTTGCTTCATTGCTGGCAGCAGCCTGATGAGTAGAAAGCACCTGAGGTGGGATCTTTATTAGCAGTCTTTTTCAATACATGAGCACTGTTGCAAAATAAAACCCCCAAAGCACTCAACACATGAGCACTGTTGCAAAAAAAACCCCAAAGCACTCAAATATTCACCCATTATTTTTACAACAGCATGCACATATTCAAAAAGACAAAGGAATAAACAAAAACAAAAAAAAAACCACCCCTTCACATATCGCCATTGTACACAGGCCTATCATTTGTGCTAATAAGAGGGAGGAAATATCAGAAGTGTTGGCATTATCGAGTGCTGCCTCTCTTTAATGACAAATTTTAACTAATTAGGCTTTGCACAGGAAATCAAATGAAATTGCATGAAGACTCAATTTTCCATACAGCTGAGGATCTGACCTTTTAGGAATGGGAAAAGAAAAATTATTTTTAATTAACATGATTAATCATTTCCTGTTGTTTCCAGTTAATTAGAGTTGTTTTTGTTTTTTGCTTAGAGAAAAAGAAGCCAAAGAGATGGCAATAATGGGAGTGGGAGGGAGATAGCAAAATGTCTGTCTTTTAAATCCTCTATATCTCTATAAACATTTTACCCAGAATAAGGTAATTGCAACACAACCCCTTGAATTATATCTCCTTGTTTCCCATCCCAGATTTTGAATATATTTGCTTGTTGTTTTATTAACTGGACCAGGGGACAGACTGCTCATTCTCTCACATTTTCATAGAAACAATAAAGACCCACCAGCAGAATTTGGTATGAGTGATAATAAGGCCAGACTCCCATAGATATAGAATAAGCCTCAAATAATCAAGTGGAGTGTACTTCAGAGTGGTATGCTCATGCTTTAGAGCTAAAAGGGCAAGAAATGGGGCTGATTTGGCTATCTGGATATGGGCCCAAATTGATCCAGAACCTCATCAAATCAATACACACTGTTAATTGGAATCAAAATTCAGATTGTCACTCCTACCCTATTGACATGCATTGGTAAACTAAACTCTCCCCTGCCCCAATCTCTCTAAAAGTTAGAGGGAAAAGTGATGTGTGCCTCCAAGTCATTTCTGACTTATAGTGACCCTATGGTGAAGCTATCATAGGGTTTTCTTGGCAGGTCTCTTCAGAGGAGGTTTGCCATGGCCATCTTCTGAGGCTGGAAAAGTGTGACTTGCCCAAGGTCACTCTGGATTTTCAATGCCAAGTGGGGATGCAAACCCTGCTCTCCAGAGTCATAGCCCAACACTCAAACAATTACACTGTGTTGGCTCCAGTAAAGACAGGAAATAGTAGATGGAAATAATTAGTGGTCACATACAATTCTCAGGCCACTTAGTTCCACATCAGGGAACTACAAACTGTTCTGGACATAATGCTTCCTTCACAAGGGATGTTTGTGGGAGGCCTTTACTTGTCTTCAGTCAGACTCCCAATTTCAAAAAATTACTTATCTTCAGGAGGACACACAGCATGGGTGGGGAGATGGGTAACAGACCTTGCCACAAACACAGATGCCAACTGTATCCATACGTCTACTTGGGGAATGTCATCAAAGGACACATCACCTACAATATTAGAGGTACTTTCACTTGCTTATCCTCTGATCAATTTTAGTTTAGTAGGCCTAAGACCTCATTCTTGAACTCCAAATCCCAGGTTTCCATAGGATATTGCCATGGCAGTTAAGATGGACTATAGTGCTATAACACTGTGGTACTTTTTACAGTTTTTCACAATCAATATGGGCAGGTATATTTTTTGGCTGAAGCATACCTTCAGTGTAAACTAGGGAAACTTATGAGGCAGGACACATGAGAGAGAAATTAAACAAGCTAAAATTTTAATAAGTTGATCAAGTAGCTATTTCCAAGTATGAAAACAACCAAAATCCACAAAACATTTATTGGACCAACCAAAAAGCACCAAAAATGGTGCACGCTTTCAAAGCTCCAGTGACTTTTTCATCAGGCAAAGGTGTTAAAAATCATACATGAGAGAAAAATATGACAATGTGAGTCACAGTCCTGCATTTTTTTTATGTGTTGTTGTTGTGTTGTTCCATGTTGAGATGGTGTGGAAGGATGTCTATACAGGCAGGCTCTCCTCCTTCAAGCCATGATGCACTGGGAGCAAAGCCTTCCAGAGTCCAGGGCATAAAATTTGAATCCCACTAGCAATACAAAAAGGTATTTCCTCCAGGTTCTGATCACAAAGTCTTGCTGTCCTGTTGAATATCTTTAGATGCAATTTTAGAACTAGCTGTTGGTACAGCATAACAGCTGACAAGGCAAGGCTCAGTGGTAAATTCCACTGAAACAGGGTTGCAAATTGGGGCAACTCAGATTTGAATCTCTCCATGAATTTCTAGATAGGTCTAGCCAAGCTCATCCCTAGCCCTTCTTCTCTCCGCTCCTCACAATATTTAGCATTAGTCTAATGTTGATTTATATATTTATATGTTTAAGTTATAAGCCTTTACCATTATAATGAATGCTTAAGGTGAGTTATAATAATAGCAGTTCAAAGAAAAAGAAAACTTCAACAGGTAGCCACAGAAAGAGGGAGAAGGGAAGTCTCTCCATCTGCTGTGCAGATAGATCAGTTTCATCAGACCTTCCCTTGCTTAGTCAGTGGACCATCAAACACAATTAGCAAAATCCAAGTGACTGTACTACAAAATGCACTTTGTTCATTATTTATTCCAACCAGTGTCATTTGCTTGCAATTATTTATGGCCCTATTTAGTACACTCATAAAGACGTGCTGGCATATTGTGTTAAAAAGGAATGGGTTTTAGGAACAGAAAACCCTGGTTAATAAATTTTGCTGTGAAATCAGAGGACATCAAACTTTGGTTAAGACAACTGAATTTGCAGGTTAAGCCAAGAGAGAGACTATTTGAATTGCTTTATACATTACATTTCTTCCTACACAGATTTAGGGGGGAAAAAACAACAGGAAAAAAACTGTGTGTGCTGTTGTGGTGTATATTTTATTTTTCTTATTAGTCTAAGCAATGTTTTCAAAGTTGTCACAATATTTTCCTTTGGTGATATTCAAGAGAACATATAGATTCTCTTTCAGGAGAAATATTGCAAATTTCAAAAGAATCTGGGCAAGACTGGTAAAATGTCTCATTGACCAGCAGTGAATGCAACATCATGCATGAAAATTGCTCTCTTTTTTTTAAAGAGGTTTTAAATCAAAGATGTGGAATGTTCTCCAGATGTTGCTGAACAGGACTTAGACTAGGGAACCTTTGGGAACACTTCCAGCTTTATAATTCTATGATTGTTATATTTGGAAGGCCAAATGTTCTCTCTTCTATTTCTAAGGTTTGCCTATTTTTTTTTAAGCAAGCACATAAAAAACCCTGTACAAATTTGGATTCCATTTGCCTTCCCTTTGTACTGTCCTCACCAATTTAGGGGTCTGCCCTGTAGGGGTATAAAGGGCAGAAGAAGAGGGAAGGACAGTAACAATGGCAGATCCAGCTCCTGAGTTTTGGACATTCTCCTTTTCTGCAAAGAAGAGATATAGGGTGCAATTCTTTTCATACTTATATAGGAACCAGCTCCATTAAAAGCAATAAGATTTATGCCTGAATAAACATTATTATGACTGCTCTGTTAATGACATATCAAAACTAGCTGGAGCTTTGCAAAACACAAATATTTCCAAAGAGATTGTGGATTTGCTATCTAACATGGTCGCGTAGGAGACCTGTGGGTTAGCTATCTAGGATTATCCCTCAGGGAAATTGTGGATTTAGTAGGTAGCTTAAATTGAGTAGTAGGGACCTATTTGACCATGATGACCATCTAATGAGTTTCTTGGCTGAACAGAAAATTGCAACATGATGTCTGAACATTTTCCTGCTATTTGACATAGGGTTGCACAATTTTATTGGGGAGATGGAATAACAAGTGCCTCTCAAGGGTTGACAGGAATCAATGGGCATTAGACAAATATGGGAGAATAATAAAAAATGACTAACCTGAGGCTGTTATACTTTGAATATATCATTAGACAGTAAAGATTATCAGGTGGGGGACAGAGTGTTCTTGTCACAGCCTTTTCCCATCTTTCCTGTGGGATAATGGGAAGGAATTTCAGATAATATTGTGCTGATGTAGACATTGTCCCATCTGTGAAGTGCTAGTGACCACGATCACATGAAAGGCCTTCATATGATGTTGCACTGATCCTGTCATTGTCCTGTCAGTGAGGCAGAACTGTCCCATCCTTGCCCTTCATTTTGTATTAAGGTAAGAACACGTTAATGCAATTCCACTTTACTGACAGGATCAGCACAACATGTATGAATGTCTTTTGTGCAATCACTGTCATGGACGGAAAAATAACAGGAGAACAATACGCTTTACTTCCATCCCCCATCTTCTGATCTACAATTTTACTCACTAGAAAAGATTATGATGCTTGGTAAAGTGGAAGGTGATAGGAAAATAAGAGATTGAATTACACTGGGTTGATTCAGTTCAAAGAACCCACAGACTT